GAATATTCAATATATACACACATGTATGGATTTTTCCCTTATATGGAAAACACCGAAATTGTTTGTCATGAAATTCCCTCCTGCTTAGGACGGATATCGGCATAATAGGGACGTGGAAATATAAGAATAGAAGTATACTTTAGGGAATATTCACAAGACGCATATTTTACGACATATGTACCCCGTTATATGTACACTTTCCATAGAGCTGCTACGAGACGGGGGGAATGATTCCAATCCAGGATACGATTTCAACCTCTGTGAGAGCCACAACTTAAGCAGCTTATTTGTATCCAAAGATCACGTATATTTTTAATTCGTTGTTTCAGTTCTCTTAAAAATGCCTGCATTAGTTCAACATAAATATATAAAAAATCGCATTACATGAATTCACGTGTATGATCAGTCGACAGAAACCTTTCACATCATATAATAGAAATAAAAATCCTTTAAAAAATCTAAACGCGGTGGCGCTTCTTTACTGACACTTTTGGATAAGCAGCAATACTCACAACAGTAAATGTTCGCAGGTTTAGGAAATGCACGAATGGTAGATGAATTTTACACACAAAAATTAACTGCCGAAGTTATATTTCCCCATAAAGTACTTATGAAAGTATTGCATAGAATTAATTTAATTTGTCCAAATCATATTGCAAAGTTGTATGCTTTTTTTGTACCTCTTATTTTTTGCACAATTCTTAAGAAACGTGGAAATAGAAAAATCACAAACTTCAATATAAAAGTGAACATACGGGAGTACAATAAGATTTAAAAAAAAAAAAAAGAGGAACAGTATTTTTTATTTATATGGGGATGAAAGAAAGCTTTGGGGTACAGTATTCTAAACAATGCCTTTTTCAGGAAAAGGAGCCCACAGAAGCCGCATTCCCCCATCCCTGGCCTCTCTTACCTTCATTTCTCAAATATTAAATTATTGTGAATAATCAAATGGATCTGAGCTCTCTGTTTGCGTATAATAGTGCATTACACATAATATTGAAATGCATTTTCCCTTTATTCACGACTGTCATAAAAAAAACATGTGACACTGCCGAAAGGAACACATGTCTCGTGCGAAGATTGCCATTTCCTCTCCATCCACGATATACCACATCACTTCATGCAGACAGATTAATTCACAAGAGATTATTTACTATATGTGCCTAAATAATATTGCAAGAAGGAGTTATCAGAACCCGCTTCACGAGGCCGATGAAACCAAATCATTAGGAGGATTTTACTTTTTAAAAAATTACAAAAGCAATGGATTTTATTGCATGCATCTATTCTATCCTGTAAGATTCAATTATTCTATTTAACTTAATTTATTTCTTTTCTGCATTCCGGAGGAAAATTTTCCATTATTAGTTATGGTATATGACACAGCAACCATAAAGAATTTTTTTTATCATTACATCATTTGTATTTTATTCATGTTCATTTTTTTTATTTCATTTTTCCTTCCGTGCCCATAACAGGAAATTAATCAACAAAAACAGGAACATACTACTAGATAGGGATTTAAAACTTTATATTAGTTCTCCCTGTTCAATATGTATATAAACAAACAGTTGAAATAAAAATCGTCATCATTCTTTCTCTTAAATATTAATAAAAAGTTACCCTTAAAGAATTTATATATAATCATCATTCATATTGAGAAAAATTAAATAAAAGGATTTTTCTGCAAACTCGTGTTTTTGTTTTACGCTTAATGTATTTATTAATTATTTTTTGAGCTATTTAAAATTATTTGTTTACATCTGCCATCATAAGAATAATAATAGAGCATTCATTAATTTTTCGTTTTTTTTTCCTACGTTATAGAGGTAAATTTACATTGTAGCAATTTCTCGTATTTCTTTTATTTACTATTTTTCGTATAATAAATAATTTCGTAAATGTTGTTTACATGTGACTATTCATGTAGTATACTATTTTTTTTTCTCTGAAAGAATTTGACAGTTGATTAATTCGAATAATAGAGTATATAATGCAAAATGGCACTTTTATTTTAATTCTATTCTCAATCTCCAAGAGAAGTTAACTCAATTAAAAGTAAATTCATGTAATGCTTAGAAGAGGAATACACTGTATTATTCTTAATTTTTCCTTTTTCCAGAATTGGATAAATATTCCTTTTTTTCTTACAACTGGAATTCCATACTCAAAATTATCCAACAGTAATATTTATTCATCTCTAATTTTTCGTACATTTTTTCTAAGTAAATTACAGTAAGGACCACATTTTTTTTTTCTCTTCTATAATGTATTCTTCCTATTCTTCACAATAATGTGTGTTCTAAAATTTTTGAAGATATAAGAAGTTTGTCAATAATAATGGTACGTAACGAAAGGAATAAACGTAAATATCAATGTTTGCAAATACAATTGTCTTTAATTACAGATAGTTATAAATAGGAATGTGTGTGAGTGGGAATTTTTCTAAATGAGAAAAGATATAGATACAAATATCTGTATTGAATATAACAGAATTTACTATCAAAGATACACGCTGTTAAAAATACATCTTATCAAAAGTATATGAGATCAAATGTACGTCCTATACAGGATACACCTTATCAAAAATATATCCTATGCATAATATATACTATCGAGAGTATATGCTATCCAAAATACAAAGAATCATAAATGTATACCATCAAGGATATATGCTATCCAAGATACATACTATCAGAAATACATGTTATCCTGAATAGACACTATCGAAAATACATACTATCAAAAATATTTACTATTGGAACCAGTTATAATTATGAACTTTTTCTAAAACTATTAAAATCAGCGTACACTAAGAATTCTCTCCTATAGTGTTTGTGAACTCTAATCATTTTTATGATGAGACAACCATCAAACTATAGAATGTCTTTTACTAAATTATTTTTCTGTATCCTTGTTTTTTGTGTCAGCGATTACTCGAATGAGGTAACATAAGAATTAATTACAATTATTCTTGAACTTATTTTCACAATATTATTTTCCCTTTCAACAAGGAAACATCAGTAATATGTAGAAATATATATAATACAATTTTGCGTCGTGAAAATATTCCCCCCATTATTAGTATACCTGTGGAAAATTGTGCAAGAACAAAAATGTAAACAATGTCCTAAACCTAAGAACTAGCAGATTACTGAGAGGATACGAACAGGCTGAGAACATTGCTGAATATGAAAATGGAAGAGGAAAATTCTTCGGTTTAGTAGATGAAGATGATGAAGAATTTACAAGCTATTTCAAATCTTGTATGAAGGATGCTAAATTTCAGGAAGGATTCAATTTATTAATGACTAATGATGATAATATTACTTCAGAATATAAGACAATGACAGGTGATAAATGTCATAAAAACACACATCCTAATTTGGAGTATAATAGTGTTCCCTTTACCTGGGGCAAACATAAAGAATCTTCTGGTAATAAATATGATTCACAAGATTTTACTTCAGAATATGATTTTAAAAATGTAAAGGAATATGGAAATCCCAACCAAAATGGACGTAAACAGAAAAAAGCATATGAAGAGGTAGGAGGCCATGATTATAATTATGATGATGACTATGATGATAAATATGATAATGACGACGACTATGATGATGAATATGATGATGACTATGATGATGAATACGATGATGACTATGATGATGAATACGATGATGAATATGGAAATAGGTATGACAATAAATATGGAAACAAATATGAAAGTAAATATGGAAAAAACTATAAAAATAAATTCAGGAATCGACCTACAAATGGACCCATATTTCAACCTGGAAATCAATATGGAAATGACCCCGAAGAAGCAAATAATGAGACAACCCAATGGATTAAACGAAATAATAAGAAATCCTTAAATATACCTACCATTTCAGGGATAATTAACTGTATAAAAAAAGCTGATGCCAATTATCAAGCACGATTAGAAAAAATAGTGAAAGAAGAAAAGGAAAAAAATCCTACATGTAATAGAAATTCATCTAAATTAAGTAGTATGAATGTACTTAAACTGCTCTCACCAGTTTTCAAAACGATTCCGCTTTCTCTTATGATCATGTTCACAACGAAATCAGCGCTCTTATTTTCCATAGCAATATTATTAATATTTGCATCACTAGTATACATTTCATGTAGATACCAAAAATGCATTAATCGCGTAAACTGTGCAGATGAGGGAGTCAGAATAACACTGAATAGGGAAGCTGAAGTCATACAAAAGAATGAACTAAAAGTCATGCCTAAAAAGGATGATACTCGGACACTTACATGGGACCAGAGCTCGTCATTGAGCATCGAAGAGGAAATGGAATCTAGATCTGAAGAGAACATAGAAGATAGGTGGGAGGATAAAATTCCACGAAGAAGGGAAGAGGAGTTCCATCCAATCAGAGACAGTTACTATCATAAGAGAAGATACTTCCTCTAAATCTTTAAATAGAAATCATGGACTCCAATCTAATTTACGGTTATTTCTCTTATGCGATGCATATACATAGGTGAACTAGGAATGGTGTATATGGTATTTGTTGTATTTTTTCTTTTTGTAATGCTAAGTAAAAAACGTATTTAGTATACTTTTCTTTTTTTCCTTAAATTTACTTTTTGGATTGACAAATTTGAGGAGCACTTAAATAAAAATACTTCTTCTTTTTTTTATGGCGTCACAAATGTGTTTTCTTTAACTATTCCGTTTACATGCCTTATTTTGTTTATCCATTGTTTTAATTTTTAAAAAACCCTGTTGTTCTTCCACAACGAAATGTTCTTTCTTGTCTTCTACATATCACATGTTATTGTTACATTTACGCACGTAGTGATAATTTATTTGAATATAATTCCGACAAATAACAGTGAAACATGATCTCCATGTGCACTATAAGCATGTCTATGTGATGAACATATATGCACATATACGGCATATTAAATAGATCCTTCGGCATCTAAAGAATAGGAAGAATGAAAAAAGTAATCTTGAGTTAAGAACAAAAAGACACATTACCTAATTTCACATGTTTCGGGTGGCACTTATGTATCATGTGGGCAACATGTATACTTATCATTACATTGTTCGTCAGCATGTCGTTCTACAACCAGGAAGCAGATAATTAGTTCTTCCTCCATTGTATATAATAGCGTCCTTTAATGTTGGCTGATTAAACGTAAACACCTGAAAGATTCTTCTTTCCTCTACCTTCAATCTTACACCATATCGTATATAAAAATTCCGGTTATTCTTCTTGGTACATATGGATGACTTTACCATTCCTCCCTTAAACCTGCGATTCGTAATATTAACGCATGCGGAAGATGATTGGGCATAACACATTCGGTGTTTACACATAATATTTCTCAGCTTAGTCTTAATCCTTGTGTGCATTAAAACCATATCTCTATATGCTTATTATGCAGAAAAATATTTATTAATGATCTATTCATAATCGGACTCGAAACTGATAGCTAGGAATTCTCAGATGGAAAATATCCGACTGTTCCTTCCTTTAGCATAAAGATAAAAAGCGTGTCAGTGTTAGGAACATGAATATATTCCTTAACACCATCCTGTATATTTTTGTAAATATTGTTACGCTCTAAGATCAACAATTAATGCGTAATTGTCTCATAAAGAGACAAAAAAATAGGATTCCATCCGCTTGTTTCAGTTTTAATGCCTAACTATCCTTCGCGATTATAGAATCTTATAGTAATATCTCCCGAATTACCAGTTATATATCAATTTTATACTAGAACTTGTCGAACATCCACAATTAACTTAGTGAGCTACATTAGTCATGAAAAACAATATCGATGGGGTACCTTAATTCTGGTGCATCTCCTTGCAATTTTTTCTTACCTTTAATGATTTTCTGAAGGTGCTGCTTGATTATGCATTTTGAGACACCCAACACATTCGTTCAGTATATCCCTGCACTGTAACTATTAGCGTGGAAATTAAATGCGAACTTTTATATAAATACCAGTAATCCACTCAGTTGAATGTTCGGACAATTCTAATTTATCATATACTCCTCTTATCAGCTTCTTAGACTAACAAAATAAAACAATCAGTGCCTATTTAGCTGCATCTGCCGGTAAAGTTTTGCCGTCTCCTTCGCCCCTTCCTGTTGCATTATTGCGAAATACACAGCCCGGAGATAGAGAGCAGTATATATTTTTCAAACACAAGAATACATTAATATGGACCAATTTTTTATAGCACACTTTATATTACGCAACAGTGTGTTCTAAATCCAAAGCGTAAAAGAAACATTATAATTCTTAGAGAATCCGTATGTACGTAACAGCTCTAACACTTTTGCATCTCAAATGTGAATGGAATGAGATTATAACCTTTTTTTTTCACAAATTTAAAATTTTTATAGGAAAATGTTTCGTTACAATCGAATGGTTGAAAAAAAAAATGTTCCTTAATATATACGGAACTTCCAAACACTTTTTCATTTTGAAAAAGGTATGTCAAACGGAATATACACTTAACTCAAAATATGAATAACAAAAATATTCAATTGCAATAATTTCTTAACAGGTTCTATATCGCTACATTATTATATAATGGGGTTCCCATAGATATTAATGCGATATTGCAAATCAACGTATTTATAGCTTCATTCATATAGGCTAATCAAATTATAGATAAGCATCTCAGCAACAAATTAAATACCTTTCTACTGTTTGTATATCATCTCATAGAGTAGCAGAATTCATAAACACAAAACAACTCAGGAAAAAAGGGAATTAACACAAACTCAGTATTTTAGAAAGGTATATATGGAATCATCTACATGCAGACCGCTAACATGGTAAGCTTATCCACAATATCATCAAGTTTAAGTCCCAACCCACTTTTTTTATTCCGCTCTCTCTTTATTTCATTTTCGTTTTATGAAAATTCATTTCAAAGAGAATGTATTCTTATGTCACTATATACAAACACACATTTAACGGTTACCTAAGTGTTTTGCGTCTCATTAGAGTCCTTCACAGTGCGCAGCAGTAATAATTACATATATGTTTTTCCCTTTTTTACCCATAGATGCATTAATATATGTACAAATACCACTTACAGAACTGTCCATGACATAATAACACTTTGTAACCAATAATAATAGCGGCGCTTGTGTGTAACTACTAAATTTGATTCTGCTCAGAAAATTATGTTAGACATTTTAATAGCTACACGCCATTTACAATTTCAGCTTATAATGTCCATGCTCTCTAACCTGTTACTCCACAATTGATATTGGATACAGAGTAAAAAAAAATATTGCACCTTCTTCCACATTTTGTTATCATGGTTCTACCTTATTAAAATCTGTGTCTTTCCGTACATGTACGCGCTTCGTCCTGCTCAGTTTGGTTGCTCTTTTAACGCACGAATTAGAATTGTGGATACTTCATTACCATTTCCCCATCCGTTTAACACAGATGAAGTCCCCCAAAAGATACGTCACTTCCACTGTTTCGTAAAATGTCAAAAATTTGATAATATAAGAACAGGGAACTATTTACGATGTGTATATTTGCTTCTTTTTCTACGGGACCGTGCAATAACTGAACAAAAAAAACGTAAACCACCTAATATTTATCACTATTCATGCAGTGCTTTTTCTAAACAAATCTTAAAAAAAAAAAAAGAAATGCCGCTTAACAGGCTTCATATTAGCTGGAAACCAAATATAATCGACAAATTATACAAAACCCTTAGGAGCACACGAATTTTTCATTAGGAAAACGTTCGTACGTAACGCACAAATCATATTTTTTTTAATGAACAAAGAACAAAGAAGCAAATTAGTGTACAGAAATAATACCCTTATATGAATAAATATACATGCCTTTTGCATACATCTATATATAATCAAATGTCTCGAACGACCCTTTTCAGTGGAAAGGATACAAATTAAAAGACACTTTTTTCCAACAAATTTATAAACCCCTTTCTTCAAAATTGCATTTCCTGTCCATTATTGCGTTTGGAAAATTCGTGAGCCACATCAGAATATTTTTTAAAACGTTTTCATTTTCAGGCTCGACGTCCAACATGAGTTCTATATTTTCTAAATTGTGCAGCTCCCTATTATCATTCTTCAGTCTGTTAAAAGATGATACAAATCCTCCATAATAACATAGAGCGTCATCCTCCCAATAGATAAACAATATGGGAATATCTTTAGGAATGAAAATCTCATGTCTGTCCAAAATTCTCATTGCTTCAAATAATTTATATCCAAATCTACTTGTTACTCCTTTCTTATAAGGAATCTTATCGAAACAAGGCACATCATTCATATATTTATACCTTGTGTAGCTCACATTCTTTACAGGCCGATATCTTGGGAAAAAAAAGGAAAATAACTCGAGAAATGGAAAACAGAAGCGATCATATTTGTAGGAACGCGGTGTCACATCCATTAGCTTAATAGCAATCATCCAGGACAAAGATATACACCCCGTAATGTTTAATATCTTATTTCTTTTATCATGCGATTTGCGCCGTATTTGTGAATCCCTTACACCAACATTTCCTTGCCTCGACTTTTCAATAATATAAATGCGGAGGCCTCGTTTTTTTTTTTTCTTAAATATCATTTCATCCCCGGCGTCGGTAATGGATAGTAATCAACTATCTTTTCCTTTTTCTAAACCATTTATCACTTCTTTCGATGTTTTATGATTTATCACTGTTATTGCTGTTTGACGATTTGTCTTTTTTTTTTGCGCCTCGACGATTTATCACTCTTGGTGCTGCTTGACAATTTGCTTTCTTTTTGCCAGTAGGTTCCGATTCTTAACCTGGTTCTTTGACAGATAACAATGTACCACAGTTTCCGTTACTAGTGGAAGGTACTTCTTCATGTCTTTAGTAACCAGATGATGATGAATTTGCAGAGTTATCACCATATGACCTGACTTTATCCTGAATTTCATGAATGTATTGCATCACGTCATACACCAAATTGTCATACTGTTTTACATTAACCTATCATTTTCCTCATCCAGAAGATTGTCCATGACCATGGAAATCTATACCCTAGACTGATTATCCACATTTATTAAAGTGTTCTATCCAATTATCTTCTTAAGCGTAATAATTGTTTTCATCTTTTAATAAAACCCTATCATAATTTACTATATGCACGTTATTCCTCAAAAATTCAAACCTAATGTGCGAATTTAAACCGTGTATTAGTATTATAATATCTATAGCATTTTTTATTAATCATTCATATGTTCTCAATAATAAACCATCCTTCTTATAAAAAGAATGAAGCATGGATGTTCCATCTATCCCATTGAGCGTGTCATCAAACTGTGTAAAGGAATCAGAGGACTGCGTAGAGGTATCATCGAACTGCGTACAACTTTCATGAGACTGTTTAGATGTTTTATCAAAATTTGTAGGTGTTTCATCAAATTGCGTTATCATTATATTTTCTGCAGTGCTATATGAATCGCCCTCTACCATTATAGCAATGGAAAGAATATTAATTCATAAAATAGGAAATAAGCCACAGTGGGTAACATATAATGAATAACTTCTGAACAGAGAATGAAACGTAGATATTTTTCCTAAGATATAAAGGATTTTGTTAGATTTCAAACTACTATTATCCGTTTAAATGTAATGTCCGAAGAGAAAATGAAAGAAACTAGAGGAGTTAATACGAAGTCAAATTAACCAATATACACATATATATAGTGTATATAGCGAAATCGAATAGAATAGTTCATAATGGTAACGGGTACATGAAAATGTGACAATAGGCACAAATGATGCTTAAGGGGCGAAACATATTCAGCGAAAAACACATAAAAAAGAGAAAACTTTCTAAAGCAGAAGGGTAGAAAAAAATAAGCAAAGAAACAAAAAAACAAAGAAAAAAATGCAAAAGGGTCCAACTGAAATGTACATAATCTAATTATATATTATAATTCAAAAATAAAGGGCAAGAAATATGAGAAAACAAAATGTTATGAAAACAACTTTAACTGGACCATCATATTACAACAAATTCAAATAAAGCACAATTGAAAAAAAAAAGGAATCATACAGATTTTGTATATCTTGTTATAGTAAATATAATATAAACAACTGGCTATGAAATAATATAGCAACTAATATGCCCCATTATAGAGAAAAAAATAAATTAAATCGAAAATAATATTTTTGGAAATATAAAAAAATTAAAAAAAGAAACAATCATCTATTTGGGGGGCATATAACGGCGTTATAAATAACGGGAAATTATTATTTCCTTGGTAATAATTAACAAAAGACAATTTTTTCTTTTTATATATATTCATTTAATGCAAGGGAAAAAATTATTCTATTATATATATATAAGAATTTTTTTCATAATACATATTCTTTTCTGAGTCCTTCATTGATAAGTTCAGCCTGTCAGTTTTGAACTCATATAAGAATATTCCTTATCTTAGCGGGAAAACATCAATGTCAAAATTTATTCTAAATATATTTCTAAAACACATACAAAAGGAATAATAAATAGTAACACATCACATATCTGAGGCTTATAGAGCCGTGTGATAAAAAAACAAAGATTATATGGAATATATCGTTACCATTACATTTTTTCTTGTTTAAAATAACTTCTTTTCACTGTTATGTTGGATATTTTCAGAATTTGACTAATATTATAACACCAATTAGTTATCTTTAACGTACACATCATTTAAAACATCTTTTATATATATTTACGAACATTATTATTCCTATAAACATTGTTTTAAAGACCACCGAGTCATGAATAATTTTATGGGTAACCTCAATTGTCACTTTGCAGCAGCAGCACTCCTTATGTATATTTTGGTGCCACAGTGACCCATCAGCACAGTTACATTAAAGGGCATAATTTCCTATTGAACTGAACTGAACATGAATATATAACACTTGGCCCTTTTCACCCTATTTCTTTTAAAAACGAAGAATAGATAAATAAATGATTACCGCCTTTTTTAATCATGTCTTATTCCGTATACATCCTTTAGGGTTCAGTGCTCATGTTTCGGGTTCAATGGTTAGGTTTTATGTACCGGTCAGCACCTTGTGCGATCGCAACAGCAGATTGGGGTACATTATTTTATAACCTATCCAGAAAGCAAAAAAGAAATACTAGGAACGTAAGTCAAAAAGGGGGGTAAATGCACATATGCATGTATCTGCAGATAAATGAAAAAAAATACAGTTATTTTTAAAAAAATAAAAAATTGCAGACTTCTCAAACGTACGAAATATTTGTAACGATCTAAAAAAAAGAAAAAGAAAAAAAAAAATCCAACTATTTCTACTATAAATAACAGCTCGCATTCCAAATATTATTTGTAATAGAATTAAAATAATAAATATTTACTAAGCAGTACAGTTAAGAACCATTAACGTGTATATCACAGTTTTATACTAACGCTTTCTTCATGAACATTAAAGATAATAATATATTAAATTTTCCTTTTCCTATTTTTAATTAGGAACATAAAAAATACAAAAACAAAAAGGATATCCAACTTAGAAAAATGGATTCTTGTGCCGTACTTAAATGCGTAAATCTTTTTCTTACCTCTTCTTATAAAGTACGCGTATTACTATGTTTATGGTACTATACATGTTAAAAACGCGGATGAGAAAATTAAGGATAGATATATTTTTTTACATATATATGATGGTTTTTTGTGCGATGACAAACATTAGTTCTATCAATACCAAATAGTAAGGCGTAGGAGGCGAATTATATTGTACTGTATGGTAAAAATGCATTGAATGGTATTAATATGTTCCATTTAATGAGCCCTTTGGCTTTAGCTGTTTTGTTTTAACATTATAATTAAGATGTAAATTATATCACTCATTTATAAATTCATTAATTATTATTTACGCTTTACAATAAATTCGTAAAATGAAAATAAGGCCTACCAAAAGTAATTTCTCTATGGTAGTAACAGAAGTGGTTACTACAAGAAAATGCACTTTAATGTATACCCTTTTCTCAAAAATACGACTTAAACTTCTTTATAAGAATCTTATGCACACAAACAGAGAAATTACAAATTTCTTGATAATTTTAATAAACGTATTCATATAAAATGAAAAGGCTTTTAAAATTTCAATACAATGAGAAAAATTAAAATCCAAAACAAAATAATTAGAAGCCGTTTATTCAGAATCTTCTCATATTTTAAATGTATTATTTTCCTAGTTTAAATGTTTTATTTGTGCAAATTTTTTAAAACACATTTGGGATTTATAGACGAAGTTTATCATTACCTTCTTTAAGTAAGAATATATATATCGAATTGTTTTGTTATCTCATTGTCACTTCGCTTAAAATTCATAATGAAGGAATGCTAACATAACAGTGGTTACCTTTTGTACACCAGATTAATAGGTTCATGGTAGCAGTAAATACTCATTTAATATAACACCGTTTCATGGATACCTCTGAAATGAATAAGAAAACAGTTATATATATCTCAGTGTATATACAAGGATATTCTAATATAGGAGAAATTTCCTCTGTGTTTTTCTTATTCGGTTGAGAAAGTGCAATCCTCTTGGTCTGAAATATGTCTCAACTTAAGAAAATAATTCGAATTTTTAAAAAACGAAAAAATATTGTTCTAAATCAAGCTCTCACTTTGAATGTCCTTTATTTTTGTCTTTATATAAGCTCCCATATTCTTATTCTACTTGTATTTGATAAAAATATCTCGCTTCAATCTTTTTACCTCTTTATTTTTTCTAAGACCACATAAGATTAACTTTTCACAGAACCCAACCATGTTACCCCTATAACTGAAACATATCGTACTATGTCATTTTATAAAATGAAGGTAAACCTCATATATTAATTAAAAAAGTGGACATTGTCATACTTCCCTTGCATTTAAAAGTTATATGAAAGAAAGTAAAGTCTATTTATGTTATTTCTTCCATTTACCTGTTTAACGCGTTACAGAAAGCAGTAGACGCATATATCTTATAAGTTATTAACGTTAAACTGTTAGAACAGCCCACAAAAAAGGAACCTCTTGAAAGCTTTAGTTTGTTTCAGAAAATGTCCTACACTATAAGAATATGAAATGGAAAGTAATTAAATTAACATCTCTTTTTCTATACACAGCTATAAATTTAAAATAATAGTTAATAATTCGAATGAGGTAACAAAATGATGTTAACATACAAGCGACAATTGCTTGTATACTATTTTTCATGTTGCAGTTGCCTAGTGTTAGATTACCATGTTCCATGAGCTCTAATCATAGATCTGTTTCTCTATGGGGCGAATTATTCATTTTTCGTGATTTGTATGTTTCTTTTGTATATTTTTACCCCTGAGATTAAATCGTAATAATTAGTCCTTTGACATATACAAACGGGGGCGCTCTACTCAGTATATCTTCTGTATTATTAAATCTTACTCGGTTCATAATTGTCAATTTAAGCATCTATCTCAATCGAAATCCTGATATAATAAATCATCCTAAGTGGCTTCAGAATGAAGAAAGTGAATTCTAACCGTTGTACTTATTATAAGAATATAATATTGAAATACTCTACCATTCTTTACTTCATTAATGAATAAATGTATTATTATTTACGGGCCACATTTGAAAATAACCCTACGAAAAATTACCTCTAGAAACGTGCTCAATTAGGATTCGCTATACAGAAAGACAGTATAAAGCGTTAAAATTTATATAAACATATGAAATGTTAATTGAATGATGCAGTGAATAAATTACTTCATTATAAATGACTACGTCTATAAAACTCTTCATTCTACTTTTTTAACATCATAATTTAATCACAAGAATTATATTCATATTAAATGAATTTACAAGGTGCATCTGCACAATAGGCCCCATGGACTATATATAAATATGTGGTCTTCGACTATTTCGTTACATTACCTCTTATGTGAAATGTTGTCATATGTTCACTACTAAATAAAGTTTTAGAAAGACTCATGAAGAAATTAAGAACAGAATTTATACTGGTAATCCATGGTTAATAAAGGGGACTAAAAACGTCTTGCTATTACAGGCCCACATGATGCAACTCGAAAGATACATAAGAATTATGTGTAAATTATCACCTGCTTTCAGATATAAGCATATAATAAAGTATCTTAGAGATATGTATAATTAAAGGAAGGAGTTTTATTTTCATTGAAATTTCCCTTTTATGGACATTATTTTCTTCTCTTTATGTATCATATGAAAAAGTAAGTTATAATATTCTCTGGTTACCTATTAGGTCGTATCACCCTTGGCTAAAGTAAATAATTTCCCACCACCACCAATCTCCCCTTAGATTAACTAATGTTTCCCCATAACATATGCAACAAAAAAAATTAAGAACACATATCTACTTCTGTTAATATATAACATGTTTTGGAAAAAGAGGTTGAAAGAATTTCATTCATATTCCAGTTATTTTCACTATATACCGCCCGTCTTGGTTCTAGAAACACATAAATTGTTGGTTCACTGCTTAAGCACTTAGTATATGGTATAACAAATCTACCTCCAATGTTTCACATTTATGAATTCGTTCATATGAAAAATTGAATTAATCCGCATGACATTGCTTCCTGCGCTATAAAGCGATAAATGGACTTAAACGATGTGTAACTTCTCGACATCATTAGGCAAAGTAAATCATTCGAGTAATGACAGATATGTAAGACTTCATCGATGATGCTGTTAAATACTTGAGGATATAGCGGATAGGAATACTTATTAGTGAAGCATATGATGAACTCCACAGTATGAATATAGAATACATTGTTAGCACTCATTTAGTGGAAACAACACTTAGTGATATTCACAACCGAAGTTTGGTATTCATATCATGTCATAGTCTTTATAAATCCGTTTCGCAGCTGGAAGGACAGGTTTAATTAAAAGCCCACATATTTTAAGCAGCAGAAATATGCAATCCGCAATATGAAGGGCATGTATAGTATACATATTCACAACCTCTTTAAAAGATAGCCATAATTGTTATTTTCAATGATAAAGCTTAAGTGTTACATTCTTACTCCATGAGACAGAACTGAATGTATATTCATTCTACATCTGTTCATAGTTAAGTAAGATTGCATGTGTGTCACGAAGGGCAAAGGGCATGAACCAAATTGTCATATATGGACTATCTGTACAGACATGAACATGTTAAATTTTCAAATGATGTGTACTGCCGAATAAAGGCACATGCGGAGGCTGCATATGGATGCAGGAGATATTTAGGCGGAAGCGGTTAGGTACGTACGTGCACACGTAGATACGTAAGTATATTCACTTATTTATTACGAAAAACGTTTTAATAAGACAACTATAAAAAAAAAAAATGGTAACACAAAATGAAGAGACTACACAAAATAAAAAAGGTACAGAACTCAAAGAGATTCTCAAAGGAGAGATGCATATGGAATGAAGTGAAGCCGCGTGTACAGGTGGGCACGTGAAAACTTGTACCAATGTATGCGCAGGAATGTATGAATGATACTACGTATGAATGGAAGTACCTATGATGTATGTACCCATGAATGCATATGTATGGATACCTATTTATATATGTACATACATGTAACAGGCGCAATGTACATGTACGGAATGAGAGTATCATATACGCTGCGCGAAGGAGAGAAAAAAAAAGAAAAAAAAAGGAAAAAAGAAAAAAAATGAATATATGAAAAAAAATGAAAATAATGAAAAAATGAAAAATAATGAAAAAATGAAAAATAATGAAAAAATGAAAAATAATGAAAAAATGAAAAATAATAAAAAAAAATATAAAAAGATATGAAAAAAAAAAGAACGTATGTTTATTTAAATTGCA